AAAACAGGCGTGCCAATTATTTACAATTAAGTGCTCTGTGGAGTGACGCTGTTGGAAGGAGAATTTTGAGGTCCGCAACTCATAGAGAGGCGCACAGACTGGGATTTAGCACTTGCAAGGTAAGTTTTCTTATAAAAAAAGAAGTAAAAACCCTAAAGTTGCTCAACTAGTTTATAGGCCAAAGAAAAGCCACTATTAACTCCACTGCAAAAGAAAAATTGACTTAGATGGGCTGAAGAACATAGACAATGGACACCTCAACAATGGTGTGCAATACAATGGAGTGATGAGGCCCGATTCGAAGTTTGTGTTGGTGACAGTCGCAGTAGAGTTATTCCCAAAAAAAATTAAGCATTCCATGTTGACTGTCTGAAGAGAAAAGTGAAATTTCCATCATCCATTATGGTCTGGGGCAGTATGTCATCAAAAGGAGTAGGAAAACTTCATCTTATTGATGGAAATGTGGATACAAACAAATATTTGGCAATTTTAGAAGAATCGCTTTTACCATTAATGGAAGAATGTTTGACATCCGGCCAAGATTTTTTGTTTCAGCAAGATGGTGCAGCGTGCCATACCTCAAAAAAGGCTATAAAATGGATGGAAGAAAATAATGTACCACTTTTGAAATGGGTTTCTAGCAGTACAGATCTGTCACCTATTGAAACTTTGTGGCACGAGATGAAAAAGGTTCTACGACAACATCCTGCTCGTACAATCACCTAACTGAGACAAAAGCTTCAAGAAATATGGGATTGTTTTACACCAAATTTTTGCCAAAACTCGGTTAACACTATGCCCCAAAGAATTTCAACCGTAATAAAAAATAAAGGTGATGTTACCCAATGGTAATCTTTCAATTGTTGCTTTGTTAACTTCGCGCATTTATTCGCACAGTGTTTATTTGTTCAGATGTTCTATTAGTATAGGTCTAAGTGATTTCAAATATGTATGTATTTTTCACGACTAGAGTGTATCTAAAATGTCTTTGAAGAAATAAATTGTTTTAGAAGTAAATAGTTTCGTCATGTTTAGTTTATACAGGCATATTTTGGTACAAACTTTGAAGTGGGCCAACTGAAGTGGGAAGGGGCTCGTAGTATAGTCAAGGGGACAGAAGAAGATAAGAAAACGAGATACAAAACCACGGAACTATTAATCATGCATCTGCATACTGAGTAAACATGGGACCTTCCAATATCTAGCGTGACTAGCAAAGCATCTGGTAGTGTATCTAAGGTATCTGCATCGGTTTGCGAAGATCAGCGCGGGCTGGCAGTCGGTGATCTGAGTTGTTTTCCGGCTGGCGAGCGTTGCGCGGCAAGTTTTTCGCACATGTACCATTGGGATGGTATGGCGGTACCACAATGGTACGATGGCCACGTCAAAGATGGTGACGGCAGATTGGTCTGATTGACGAGCGCACAGCATGCGGCCTGAAGCTGCCGATATACGCTCTCAGAGCAGAAGCGGACTGAGGACACCAGACAAAATTCATATCACTACACATACAGGTTGTCATGACGACAATGGAAAGTAGTCTTATGAACAGACTGGAAATAGTATCAAAAATCTGTTTTCCTAGCAATAAAAAAAAATATTTTAATACACAGGGTCACAAGTCGTGACCAAAAATGAAACATCATACACAGGACCACATTTTTTGAAGATACCACTGACAAAAGGTCACACGCCTTGGAAAATCAATGGGAAGTAATGCCTGTACTCTTAAAATATGGTAAAGAGATAACAAAAAATCCAATAAAATTCTCCAAAAAATTTGATGGCAAATATTTAAGGCTCTAGCCATCTTCCTCGTCCTCGTTTCAGGATGTTCTTCGACTACGTGCAGCACTGATTCCTCAATTTCAGGTGTTCTCACACTTAGAGGTTTACCTACAGATGTTCCTTTTCGGACAGAACCAGTTTCAACAAGACGACGATGAATATTAGAAGAGGTTCGACTACTTGGCAAAGCACAATCGGGATATCTCTGGTGATAAACCCGTCTGGCTTGCTTACCATTACCGTCGGCATACGTAATGCATTTCCGCCATTTCTGCATTTGAATAATTCACCATTATTAACAAGACTGTTCAAACTAAATAATGAAAAAGATGTCACAGCCAACAGATATGAATAACAGACTTGTCAGATGTCAAAAGCCAGTGACATATTCCAGAGCAACTACGAGCCTCTTCCCACTTCAGTTGGCCCAACTATTGAAATCTTATTTTTTTTTCTTATCAAACACAAATAATAAAAATGTAGAAGGGTGTTATAGGTTTAAAATATTAACAATGTTTATGTTGATAATATATAGTAGAAAACACCAACTTTATCACTCCCTACTCAAATTTGCAGCATAAAAATAGCACATGTTGCAACTACAGCATATCAACCTATTTTCATTTCAATGCAAAATAAGCCCGAGATTTTGTAAGGAAACATTTTTGGACCACAGTCTATAAAGCATACTAACATTAATATTTCATGTAGATCCACACCCTTAAATATTCGCATATCATTAAGGAATAGCCTGTATATTTAGTGAAATGTCTGAAAAACTGCCCAACTTTGACGCCTCGCCGCTTCGCCATTTTGAAGATAGATTTTTATACATCTGATTTCAGAAGGAATGAAGTTGTACGATCTAGGAGCTAAGAAAGAATAAAAGCTGGATCCACCCCTGTGCGATTTGCGATGTGGGTAAAAACAGCGGCGTCACCTCGGTGACTTGTCCCGGTCTGGTTTCGGTCGCAAATAGGCCCGGTTTGAAACGCAAGTCGTCGTGGGTGGCTGCGCACTGCCCAACTATGATCCAATATTTATAACATTGATATCCTTGCGCGGCTCCTTTGAGACGACTTCTTGCCCTGACCGATGCCATGTCGCTTCGAACTGACGTGCATCATAGGAATGTCCTCGAAGATTAAGCGCCACGAATGCCAAAAATTTGATGAAGAAACGGTGGAACCGCAGCTATTTGGCGCCAGGTCGGACAAGCTCTGAAGCTCTGAAGCACAAGAAACACTCTTTAGAAAATTGAAATATCCCGATATGTTTCTTGTTAACATTTCTATAATATGATTTACTTAATAATCGTGCATTGAGAGCACACAAGGAATATTCAAGCTTTAAGATATTAGAGTATATTTTATATTTCAGTCATGATTTATGGAAAGCATGGAATATTTTTATAATAACAGAGAATTTCGATTAGCGATCTAGCCTGTAAATCGGTTCCTATTTTGGTACTCAGCAAGTGATCATTTGGTATTGTTCGTCGATATTGTGTTGCTGAATTGTTGTGCTGTACTCTTGTTGGTATGATTGTTCTTGAGTGTCTTTTTCTATCAAGGTTGATAATGGACAATAAAAGGTCATATGCGACAATTTTAATTACGAATGCAGTTAGTTTAATTCCTGATTAGGATAACAATAGTGTGCAGCAGTTCAACTCGATAATCGCAAAATGCATTGGGATAAGCGAATAAATTATTGCAAGAAGAGGTCATACCATGGAAGATGTGCTGCAGCTGTAGTGAGCCACAATACCAAGCAGCCTGTCTATGTGGTCCAAATACATTTGCGTTCTAAGCTTAGTCCAACCTCGCTTACCACTAAGATGGAACAAAGACTCAAACGCAAGAAGCTTGAAAAGAAACTCCGACCAAAAAAAGCTGATATAAAAATAACTAACAATTCGGATAACAACTCCAAAGGAAATGAATAGTTGTATGGCGAATTCTGTCAAAAACCTGACATGAGCGACATTGATTTGGAGGTTGCTAAACAAGAATTTTTATGGAAACTTAACAAACGAACACAGGAGACTGCATATTACTGCATTTTGGGACATGTCCATGAGTGCATAGTAGCCGCCATCAGCTCATCTGATGATTTAGTTGTTCATTCGTATTGACAGTGTAAGGTATATGGCATCGTGGCCACGTAGTGAGATAAGGGCAATTTTACGGTATAACTTTATAAGAAGAAATGACGCTTGCATTAAAAAATGATTATCCATTTACACGTAAGGAAACTTTGTCCTCTCTGGGTACCGCATAGTCTGATGGAAGGGCAGAAGACTCATCGTGTACGACTTGGTGCCGAAAGATGCTGAAAATATTTGATAAGGGGCAATCTCGGTATGTGAACAGCATCGTGACAGGTGACGCGACTTAGCTCTATTATAACGATGTGCCGACCAAGTCTCAAAGCAAAGTTTGGGTTTTTGATGATGAGGATACACGCGTAGCTGTCAGAAAATCCCGATCTGTTAAAAACAATGATAGCTGTATTTTGCAAGTTTATGCGGGATTGTGGAGCGTGTCGTGTTGGATACACAGAAGACGTGGTAAGTATAAATGATAAGCAATTGGCCAATCTTTTGAAATCTCTAAGATAACTGTGATCAACGCTAAGGATGTTTAGGATTACTGTAATCTAAAATCTGAACATAAGAACTTTTTGTGCATAAGTATCTTGAAAACAAAGGTGTATGAGTTCTTGGAAGCAGTACTTCATGTCATTTCGTTCAACGTCCCTCTTGTTCCGATAGTTCAGAGTTCATTGGCTAGACTCGTGCTAGTCGAGCTGTGACGACATCAAAAACCGAGACAAAACGCAGTAGTCTCAACCGAATCCGATATAATGTAAATAATTAATTTCGAATCGTAATATCGTAAGAGTCATCCAGCCTTAGATCCTTTTCTTGATGACATTTCTTTCAATTTTTACCTGAAACACCGGAGGCATGACGCTTGGAACCGATCCCATATAATTTTAATAAGATAACAATGGTTGGAAATGTCGAAAAATGGGATCATTTCCGGTGACGAAACATTCATGATATAACACGTATAGTACAGTCTAAATTGGAAAGCGCAATAATATATCTCGATACTGTCGTTCAGAAGCTTTTTCTATGATATTTTCTTCATCACAATATGGCATGTACAAACGATACATTTTTTTAATATTTAAGCCCGGTTCAAAATACATTTTCTTAGTATCCTTACGGAGATAATGTGAAGGCACTACAGGCAACATATTAGTATGGCTGCGAACACTTTCTTTGATACCTAATTTTACTCTGTTAGGTCGATTATCATGTTTTCCTCGATTGTCATTTTTGAGTACTCCACTTTCCAATGTTTTTGAAAAAGCTGTATTTACCCATGTTTCAGAAATATCTAAAGTATTAAGAAACATGGTTTTGCAAACCTTTTGTAAAGTGTCGTTAATTTTTAAAAAATGGGTTCTTGATAGCTGTCTTCTTGACTCTTTATTGCACACAGTGATTTGTTTTTTGGTTTTTCTTCAACAAATCGTAGAATAAAATCCCATTGTCGCGTGTGATCTGCAATACCCCAAAGGTCCTCAAAAATATTTTGCCTATTTTCTTCAGTCATCTTATCTGCACACTTAAATCTACACTTACATGGATCTAACATAGATTTTGCTTTATTATCCGCCCATTCTTCGGGTTTTCTATGTCGCTTCCTGGAGTTTCTTTCTTTTTTCTTCATAAATCGTTTACGTTTTTTAGTTGTTATATCTACCAAATCATTTTCATGTTCACTTTCAGTTATTGTCTTCTCATTATCTATTAATTCAAAATTTGGATCCAAATCTGAATTATACTCAAATGGATCTTCATCTTCTGAACTTGTAGAAAACTTGTAGCTCGGTGTGTTTGTTGCATCGTTTGAATCTAAAAAGTACAGTGAAATACCTACTTATTAACAGTATCATATCATATCATATTTTATTGTACGTTATTATATTTTATTAGATTTTATTATGTTTTATTGTAGTCATTTATATGCTTATACCGTATCTCATGTATGATGGGCATTTAATTTTATTCTATTCTATGCTTGATATATCCTTGTCTTTATTGCTCACAACACAAATGCAACTACCAGTTTTGTAATGTCATTTTAGTTTTTATTGTCCTTTATCTTAGATGTACTCTTTTTTAGATTAGCCTTTTGATTTATGTTATTTATTATTGAATTTAGTTAAAGTGCCACAATGTCAGTTCAAGGTTTTCGCATTTCTGCCAGTGATCGTGTAACACCAAATTATGTCAGTGCGTGCGTAAGAAGTGCATAGTGCATTAGCAAGTACTTGATAGACTTTATTTATATCTGCGGATAGACAACTGACAATAATGGGATGGCCACACACAAGATTTTTCTTTCGTGGCATTACTTTTATTTGTCATTGATACTCCTTTGTGGCAACAGTCTTTGAAAATTTATATTTGCATAATTGAATTTGACAAATAAATTATTATTATTATTATTATTATCAAATTAGACATAATGTAACTAAATTTAATTTTAACAAAATAAGTTTCTGCTTACAGGTGTGAGATACTATATTCTGGCAAGGCTGGTTCTCAGGCTGACCACGCTGTATATTTTGGAAGAGCATCTCATTTCCAATAAATTTTTTATTATAAGATAATAATACTAAGTGACATATAAATCCGAACACAGAGTTTAAATGGTTTTATTTTAATAAAAGTTGGTGAATGTATTTATCTTACTGTAAATAACAAGTGAAAAAATTTTCAGCCTTATCAGTTGAACATTCCGGTTTTTATACTGCTTTTCTTTAATTCACTAACGCTTTAAAAATGAATATTTTAGCCACAGTAAAGAATCAACGTTGGCGGATTTTTTTTCTTCAGATCATTTACGATCGGTTACGATGCCTAGAGTACGGGAAGCTGGACTTTCTTTTCGGGCAATTGCAGTTAGAGTGCAAGGAAGTGTAGACACTGTGGTTAGGTGTTGTCAGGCATAGCTTCGAGAAGGCCGTACGCAAAGAGCAAGGGCACTGGACGCCGCCGTAGAACAACAGACCGTGAAGATCGCCGCCTAAGATTATTGGCCTTAAGGGACCGTTTCTCCACTACTAGGTCCATTGCAAATGAATGGTTTGCAGAACACGGAAGACCTATTGGCATGCGAAGTGTTTACCGACGAATGAGAAGTTTTGGCTTGTTTTCATACCGGCCACACTGGGTCCTCCCTTTAACTCGAGAACACCGACGTAATCGCATTGAGTGGTGCAGACAACGGTCACTCTGGGATCAGGAATGGAACAGTATTGTCTTTAGTGGCGAGTCTCGAATTTGTTTAGGCACGATGGTCGTGCCAGGGTTAGAAGGCGACGTGGTGAAAGGAGGAATCCACAGTTTTTTGTTGAAAGACATGTTCATCACACTGTTGGAGTTATGGTTTGGGGTGCTATAGCTTATGGTTCCAGGTCACCTTTAATCTTCATCAGAGGTAACATGAACGCGCAGCGTTATATCCACGAAGTTTACTTTACTTATTATGCTTCATTAAGTACTTATACAAAATTTTATTAAAATAAAACCATTTAAACTTGGTGTTCGGATTTATATGTCACTTAGTATACATTGATGATGGCAACCTATGCATCTTAATCTTATTAGATTTTTCGAAGGCTTTTGATAAGCTAAACCATGATCTACTGATTGCTGTTCTTCACTACTTGGGTTTTTCTAAAAGTGCGGTTCATTTATTAAGATACTATACCAAAAGATACTCAATACTGAATCACCATCCTATCTTTACAAGAAGATCAAGACCCGTACAGAAGTGCATAGTCGTAACACGAGGTTTAAACATCATCTCTCACTAACTAAATTTAAAACTTCAAATTATAAGTGTTCTTTTTCATATGACATAGTTAAGGTTTACAACACGCTGCCTGATAGAATTAAAGCCCTATCAATTTTGAGATTTAAGCGAGAAGTGAAGACTATGTCGAGACTTGAGATGACTTAAATTGAACGCTGCACGCTGATTTGCCAATTATTGTTCTGTATGTCTTTTTCGTTTCATCTTTGACATTTTACCTTCATAAGATATTAGCTACAACTTCTAGCAATCTCATTCAAGCATCAACTCGTTTTATATTATAGGTTTTACCAAGGTGCCTGCAACAGTTATATGTCATCTATGGATGTATAATATAATATATAGTTTTAAAACATTATATGTCTATATGAATCTGTGTTAACGTTTAACTTTTCTCTTGCTGTTATTATTATTACTGATATACTACTTTATTTTTTTTGTCTTTGGTTAGGTGGAAAAGCGCGGAATGACAACTAATGGTTGTCAATCAAGCGAACCTTGCCGTTTGCTCACTGCATCAGATTTATGTACTTTTTCTTTTTCTGTACTTACATGAGCAATAAAAGCAATTTATTATTATTATATTCAGAGAGCTTTGACAGCTTGCGTCAAATTGCATTTCAATAAGATCTTTTCCTATTGGTCTAAACTGATTAACGATGGTGAAATTAGCCCTGATTCTGTTTTTCTCGTCAAGCTAATTCGTTTGATACCCATGTCATGGGGGTTACTAAGGGAGTGATGAATCGCCATTTTGTAGCATCAACGCGATTTGACAGCATTAAGATAAGCGACAAATTGTTAAACTGGACATACTCGCAACTAGAAGGCTTTGGAAAACAATGATAAAATCAAATAATGTCAAACATTAGTGTAAATACTTGTTTATAAGCTTTATTGTGTCATTAATTTAAAGAAAAATGTTCTCCCATGAAGAAAAGTGTGATATGTTAGAATGCTATTTAGTGTGCAGAAAATCCTCCTTGAGAGCAAGAGAATACTACAGTGAATTATATCCCGCTCGCGTTCAACCGTATGAACGATATTTTCTGAGACTTTATCGAAAATTTAGGGGCAACGAAAATGTTTTTGCTAAAACAAGGGCAAAAAAAGAATTCATAATAAGCGAGGCCACGGAAATTGCAGTTATTGGATATTTTGAAGCTTATCGTGAGAATTCAATAGCAGATATTCTCAAGGACTCTAATTTCAGTTATGGTACTGTTCAAAGGATTTTAAAAAAATACAAATTTATTCCGTATAAGTACCGACCAGTTCAAACGCTTTTGGCAGGGGATCCAGAGAGAAGACTTGTTTTTTGCCATTGGTATCTTAGCTTCTGTCGCCAAAATGTAAATAACTTTCGTTACCTTTTATGGACAGATGAATCAAATTTTTCAAATTCTGGAATGTTTAATAGAAAAAACCACCATTATTGGTCAAGAGAAAATCTTTTGTTAGTACATCCAAGAGGCCCACAAGTCCGTTTCAGTTTCAACGTTTGGTGCGGTATAATTGGTTCAAAAATTGTTGGCCCGTTCTTTTATGAGGGAACCCTAACTGGTGAAAGATATGTGGAATTTATGTCAGAAATTCTGACTAATTTCTTAGACGAATTGGATCTTATAAGTAGACATCATCTGCATTTTCAGCAAGATGGCGCACCTGCCCACAACTCCAGAGGTACTTATCATTTTCTAAGTACTACTTTTAATGATCAGTGGATAGGAACAAATGGCCCAATACAGTGGCCTCCCAGATCACCAGATCTAAACCCACTTGATTACTTCTTGTGGGGTTACTTAAAGAACCAAATTTACAAGCGAAGGTACGATAACCTTGACGCGTTAAAGACTGCAGTTAGGGAAAAGATAACCCAGATAGATGGTAGGACCATACTTAAGACAGTTCGAGCAGTTGAAAAACGTGCCCAAAAATGTATTGAAGAACAAGGTGGTGTTTTCGAGCATCTTCTTTAAAAAAAATTGTTATTGTATTTTGTAAGATTATAAGTTGATGTTGAAAATAAAGTTTGTCGATACAATTTAATTGTTTCAGATTGGAGGCCATAACTTCAACAATTTGTAACCTAGGAGAAAAGTTATTGTGAGCTTTTTTGTTTAAAATTTGATGCTTTAACAGAAAAAAATATAATATACAGGGGTTTCCATTTAAAAAAATGTTATTTTACTGAAAAAAATCAAAATAACGACTCTCAATTGTTTTTTTTTATTTCTCATTTTTACCAGCGTTAAAAATGCTACTAGTTTGCTAATTCAAACAACTTTGTATTTTCACTAATAACAAAGTTACTAATGGTGGACACTTAATTTGGATAACCCTGTATTGGACTCAAAGTGATGCATTTTGTACTTCGACGCAAACCAAACGATGTACAAAATTTCAGCTCAGTTGGTTAAGGCTAACTGGTCCAAAATATTCACTTCCAACATACACACTAACCAGCATACAAACAGGTCAAGTAAAAAGCTTGTTAAAATATAAAAGCGCTTAAAATCCACAATAAAACACATATGGCGCTATCAAGTATTTTATAAAAACAAAGAGGCACTGTCTCGATATCAAGCATATTCGTTTAATCGCCGTGTAAAACTTTGGTGCCTCTAGACGCTGGGTGTCATCGAAACCTCATTACAGCAACGTTTTATGATGTTTCGTACATTCAGAACCAGTGAAAATCGCCTCTTTACGCACAGGATGTGTGAGTTTTACGAGTCTAAACTCGACTGAATGACCACGGCCGTGCGACTTCCACTAAACGGCCATGTTGGCCTGATAATTTGGACGGTTTATCGACGATAAAAGACTTCTTGTGCATGTGAAGATCTGTGACGGGCAAGAAAATTAGTAGTACAGTGCTTGAAGAGGGATTGGTGTGTGCGGTATGTAAATTATTCAGGATGAGTTATCAACGATGGAGTCGATGATTTTGTTATTGTAAAATACAGAAGGCTTTCCTCACCGGCACGGGTATTACGTATCTTGAAAAGTGACATTATGTCGATTTTCTTTGACCTTGGATTGTTTTTTTGTGACATTAGCCCGTATTTATAAAAATGAAGCATTTACTTTGAAGTAAAAGGTACAAGCAAAAGGTAGAAGTAAAAGGTTTTGCTCTGATCCGTATTCATAATCTCTACCTCTTCCTTGCAAATGCTTCGGGAAAATAAAGTAAAAGGTACGGAGATTAGCGATTTCG